GAAAAAAAAATTTTCTGAAGAAGGGTCTAGGCCCGAAACGTCAGCCTTCCTGCTCCTCTGATGCTGCTTGGCCTGCTGTGTTCATCCAGCTCTACACCTTGTTATCTATAGCATAGATGTCACTGACCACTGCTTACACAATAGAGGATACTGTGAACATCCCAAAGATAACAGATTGAACAAGGTGCTAATGAGAGGGATGATTTTGGAACAGCCTGTATTGTGAGGGACGAAGTGTTTGATAAACTAATGGACCTTAAAAACAGGCTGCAATGAACTGATAACAAAGGGTTTTAAAGGAAGCGGCTGCAGAGGTAGTGAAGGCATCGGTTAAAATATTCTAGAACCTATTGAATTCCAGGAGGGTTTCAGCAGATTGGATAGCTACAATTGTGAAGCCCCTGTTCAGGGATTGAAGGTGACAGAAATCAGGAAACTACACCTAGTTAGCTGTCATTAGGAAAATGATGAGTTAATTATTAAGGAAGTAACAGCAGGGCATTTAGAAAAGCTTAAAAGTAATCAAATAATCAACACAGTTTTATGAAGTGGAAATTATGTTTGACAAATTTACTACGATTTCTTTTAGGGATGTAACAATCAGTTGGTAAAGGATAACTCGTGGATGTACTGTATTTGGATTTCCATATGACATTAAATGTAGTGCCATATTAAAGGTACAAGATAAGAACTCAATCTTGGGTGTAACATAGATTGAGAATAGTTATAGAGTTATACAGCACAGAAGCAGACCCTTCAGCCGAACTTGTCCATGCTGATTAAGTTTCCTAAACTGAACTTGTTCATGCCTGCTTTTGGCCCATATCCTTCTAAACCTTTCCTATTCATGTACCTGTCCAAATGTATTTTAAATGTTGTAATTGTACTCCCCTGTACCACTGCCTCTGGCAGCTTGTTCCATGTATACACCACCCTCTTGTGAAAAAAATTCCAAATTGAACTCTTTTAAATCTTTCCACTCTCACCTTAAGCCAAATGCCCTCTAGTTTTGGACTCCTCAGCCCTAGGGAAATGACCTTGGCTATTCACCTTATCTATGCCCATCATGATTTTATAAGCTTCTGTAAGGTCACCCCTCAGCTTCTTACGTTCTGGGGTAAAGAAAAGTCCCAGCTTATCCAGCCTCTCCTATTAACTCAAACTGTCCAATCTTGGTAACATCCTTGTAAATCTTGTTTGCACCCTTTCCAGTTTGATAACATGCTTCCTATATCAGAGTGACCCGAATTGTATGCAGTACTCCAAATGTGGCCTTACCAATGTCTTGTACAGCCGTAATATGACGTCCCAACTCCTGTACTCAGTGCTCTGATTGATGAAGGCAAGTGTGTCAAACGCCTTCTTCACCACCTTGTCTACCTGCAACGCCACTTTCAGGAACTATGCCAGCACCAGTAGTTCTCTCTATTCGACAACTCTTCCCAGGGCCCTACCATTAAATGTGTAATTCCTGCCCTGGTTTGTCTTACCAAAGTACAACACCTCACAGTTATCTAAATTAAACTCCATCTGCCATTCCTTGGACCGCTGGCCCAGTTGATCAAGATCCTGTTATACTCTTAGATAACCTTTACTGTCCACTATACCACCAATTCTAGTGTCATTTGCAAACTTACTAACCATGCAGTCTATATTCTCATCCAAATCATTTATATAAATGACAAACAACAGTGGACCCAGCACTGATACATACAGTACATCCCTGGCCACAGGCCTCTAGTCTGAACAGCAACCTTCTACCATCACCCTCTGTCTCCTGCCATCAAGCCAATTTTGTATCCAATTGGCTAGTTCTCCCTGGATCTCATGTGATCTAATCTTACTAACCAGTCTACCATGCAGAACATTGTTGAAGGCGTTCAAAAGGCAGATTATTATTTAAATGAAGAGAAACTCTAAAATGTGCAGCTCAGAGGGATTTGGGTGTTCTTGTGCATGAAATGAAATATGTTAGCATGCAGGTGCAGCAAGTCAGTAAGAAGGGAAATGGAATATTGTCATTTATTGTGAGAGGTTTGGAAAAACAGGGATGTCATGTTACAACTGTGCAGGGCATTGGTGAGCATGGACTAGCATGCTCTGGTTTTGTCCCTGTATTTCAAAAAGGATATACTGGCTTTGGAGCCTGTTCACAAGAGAAGGAGGGCTGATCTTATTGAAACATACAAAATTCTGAGGAGTCTTGACCAGGTGGATGTGGAGAAGATGTTTCCACTAGTGGGGGATTCTCAAACTAGTTACAGAATGAGGGTACACTCACTTAAAGCTGAGATGTGAAGGAATATCTTTTTATGTACCCAGACATTCATGCTCTTCTAATTATGCAGTCCCTATTTGAATTGCTCAAGTATTGGTAGCCATGTCTTCAGTTATTTAAGTTACAAGTTATGGAATCCTCTCTCTACATCTCTTCAGTTCTGAACACTGCTTTCTTTAAGACAATTCTTAAAGTTTACCTTTTTGTTTAGGATTTGGTCATCAGACTTAATATCCCTGATGTACTCAATGTCTTCTATTTCATAATGCTGTGAAGAATTGTATTAATGCAATATATAAACATAATTTGATGTTGAGTAATTGTAGAAATTTATTTATAAGGTTCTATGAATTTAGGAATTGAATAATGGGAATGTGCTTATGAAATAAAAAGAAAAACAGCATGAAATCCAAGTAATCTGAACAAGGGCCAAAAAATAAATTGGAATCATCAACTCTAGTAATGATTGAATGAAACCAATTGAGAGTGCAGTTACAGATTCTCAGTAATGATCCTGTGCAGGGCATAGGGCTTGTATCTCACTTTAGAAAACGAAGCATTTTTTAAAGGTCTACTTTGGCCTAAGCAGTTGGATAGTACATGACAATTGACATTGAATAGTAATGTTGACATTGACAACAAAAGCCTTTAAAGGATTCTCATGCAATGCCTAGAATAACATCCAGAAATTTTGATTTGGGTTTGTATTATTATGCTGGAGCCAAAATTGACTCAATAGAAGGAAGCAACGGCCAAGTGGTATTATTGCTGGACTGTTAATTCAGAGACCTGGGTAATGTCCTGGGGATCTGGGTTTGAATCCTGCTATGGCAGATGGTGCAATTTGAATTCAATAAATTTCTGGGAATAAGACTCTAGTAATGACCATGAATCCATTGCTGATTGTTGGGAAAAACCCATCTGGTGCACTAATGCCCTTTAGGGAAGGAAACTGCCATCTTACCTGCTCTGGCCTACATGTGACTCCAGACCCACAGCAATGTGGTTGATTCTTAACTGCCCTCTGGGCAATTATGGGTGAGCAATAAATACTGGCCTAGATAGTGACACCCTTATCCAATGAATGAATAAAAAAATAGCAAAAGTTGATGGTTGTTTTTGTAACTGGAAAATCTTTTTAGTTGTGATCTACAGGGTGGTATTGCCCGTGGTATACGTCAATGATTTTGACTTAAATGTAGAAGGCAAGATTAAGAACTAAGGGCCTGTCCCCATACTGTAGGGATTCTATGACCTAGCTCTTTATTGGTCAGCAGATGGGGGTGAATGGCTACTTTTGAACTTTAAATATTGCATCCCTAATGCACTTGCCAGGCAGTCATTTCATTTTGATTTTTTTGATTTTATTGTCACAGCAAGAATACAATATAGCGAAAAGCTTTTATTTGTTACCTCGAAACGGCACCATTTTGAGTAATTTAACAAAAAGGAAAAAGTGACATAACTTGAAGAGAGGCTACAAACTTATCAACAAACTCATTTGTGACACTTTAGCGAAAGCTTCAGAAATGCAGACATACACTGAGGCCACCTTTTATGCAGGGTTATAGAGATAGGGTGGGGTGCTCGTTGAGAGGTCTGTGATGACTCGATGGGTCGAATGGCCTCTTTCTGCACTGTAGGGATTCAATGATAAAACGTTCACTCTCGCAACACAATAAGGCCACGACCCGGGTAGCTCAGGTTTCTCCCTGCCCCATCGCTTCGGCTCTGCCCCACCCCTCTATGGGTCCCCCAGGCCCGTCATAACTCAACCCCGCAGCCTCTGCTCCGCTCATGACTACGACACAATAGGGGGCGGGCCGAAATCCCGAGAACTTCCACACACCCCCTTCCCCCGCCGAAAACCCATTCGTCCCCGCCCCTCGGCCACCTGGAACCGCTCCCACCGCCAGTCCCCGCCCCTCGGCCACCTGGAACCGCTCCCACCG